CCGATTTCATCAAAATTATGCACCAAATGTCCAACTTTTGTTCGACAAATTGAGTCTAAAATGACGGGTAATACTTTTTGTTTCAATCGAAACAGATTAAGTTTTTTTTCCAAAAATTGGCACACCATCCACACAAATGGTGCAAAATTTTAAAATAATATATCTCCCATTTTTTAACGAAATATATAATTTTTTACTATATTAAGACAAACGTGTTATTACTTTATATTATACCATGACTTTTAATTGTGTTTCCGTTGTATATATTTAAAATATTCACCTAATAAGCATAACAAATATTTATCTAATAAATTTCGGAATGATAGTCCAGTTATGACTTCCAAATAGAACCAATATTTGAAATCTATTTTTAATCGTGGTCAAATTTTTCCAAGAACTTTCTAACTTCTATTCTTTGTTTATTTGTTTACTTACAGATTGCAGAATAACATGGGCTGTTCGTTTGAAACAGCCATACAGACTAGCGGGATAAATGAACAATTTGATGCTGCATGCCTTGCAACGATAGTGGAGCCAGTATACCGAACACGAAACTTTTACGCAAAAGAATCAACAAAACAACTTGTTCCGGGCAATAATAATTGTATTACTCAAAACAACAACAATAATAGCAACAACAACAATAGTAATAATTACACTAAGAACAACAGCATTTGCAACCACTTTAACCCAAAACAGGATAAAACTAACGACGACTGCCAACAGCAACAAAAACCAGCTAAAGCCAAAAAGACTACCACCAACAATATCATACCAACAACAATAGAAAAGAACGTTAACGATACCATTAGTGGCAGCAACAACAACAACAACGGCATCATTCGAGACGAATTTAAAAGCAAGACAAACTTTTACAGTTTGGAAGTCAAGGGAAACATAAATAACAACTGTGGAAGCCGCGCACAGAAACTGCTGTCGCAGCAAGACAAGGAAACACTGCAAGAGTCCTGTCCAAACTGTTATCCACTAGCCTGCCACAATAGAATTTGCTGTCGACAACAGAACTTGTTTGTGTCCGAAATTGCAACACAGTCGAGATACTGCTTTGACTACCCGGACTATTTGAGCGGCAATTGTTGCAACAACAGCATCAACGATTGCAACTGTAAGCGCCCTTGCCCTGGTCTGGTATCGTCCTTCGTCTGTCAGAAGCACAGAAACACGTTTCGCCATGAATGCCATGACGAAAAATCAACATACCTGGACAGAGCACCAGATCCAGTGTCCAATAGGCCAGATGCATGGAACAGCAGCGGTGCGAAGGGTAGAAAATGTTGGCAAGGCATATTGTCGCAGGCTAATGTGGCCCTAACATCGAATGCTCTCGATTTAAAGAACTCCTTAGCTGAGGTGATTGGCAATTGTGCAGCAATGGTGGAAACATTGATGCGTAGAAATGGCGAGCAATGTCGAAACCATTGCGAGGCTACTAAAATCCAGTGTAGCTCCATGAACAGCAACCACATTAACAACAACAACAATAAGTCTGAGCCATATAGGGGCTACTGTCAGCGCCAACAAGGATCAAAGCCCGAACACATCCCTTACACTTCAACGAATTCCTCCCGCTCTCTTCATGATACCATTAGCTCAAAATACCATCCTCATCATCAATGTAGGCAACATCAGCAGCAGCAGCAGTGTAGCAAGAAGAACAACAGTAAAAATAGCTGCAACAATGTAACCAACAGCCGCAGCAGTTGCAACAACTGTCACGTTGCCTCAAGGGCGTCAACTCAAACCACAGCCTTCAATTACATTGGCCACAATTACTACCACTTTCTGCGCAATTCGATTAATTTCTATACCGCCTACACGGCCAGCATCATATTGGTGTTGTGCTACCTGACTACGACCACATCCGCTGCCACACCCAAGTCGGACGCCACATCGCTGGACAAGCATCCCATGTAAGTAACATCCGTTTTCTCACCCATCCACGCATTACTGGGTCATTTAAGGCAATCGAAGTTACGTGCACATTAGGTTGTATTGAAAAATGCTGTAGAAGAGAGTTCGATTTAGAATACATATATATTTACAAAAAGGCAATAGAAAGAATTATGTCCGTTTAGAAAACAAGTGGACTTAGTTAGACATTTTTGGTTCTGCTTAGATAAAAATTTCCCTATAAAAAAAATTGTCGTTATGCGTATAGTCATATGTAAATATATACCAAATTTCAAGTCTACCAAGGATTTTAGATACGTCTTCCAACCGAATTGTTTGCCATAGCATATACAATTTCTCCACAATAAAATCAATATTGGTTCACCTACATGTGTAGCCCCATATAACGGTGTATTTAATAATCATGTGCGTTTTTCGCTATATCGGAAGTTCTAGTCACATTTTTTTTATCTTTTCACCATTTGTGAGTAGTGTAGTTCCTAATAAACATAACGTCATTTTATATATTTTTTTTTTAATTTCATTTAACAACTACTAGCATTTTATCTATTAATCATAAAATTTTCACTACAACCTAATGTGAATTCTAATAATTAAAACTACTTCTCGACAATTTGCCTATTTCTATATCTAGTATACATATAATAACATTATATCGTTCCCTGGTCGCTCATTTAAAAGACATGCCAGCACCTATAAGTCCAGAACAAACCGTGCAAGCAACCACAGACAAAAATATATACAACTACTTGAAAACATTATACATAAGTTTATTTGTAATTTTAATTTAAACAACACCTTTATAACAAATTGAACATTTTTTATAATTTCTTTTCTTTACATTATAATTTCAGTCAAGGCATCGATTGGTCGAAGTAAGTGCACTTCACAGGTTTCAGAAATAATTTCCGTTTCTTTCAACTTTTTTCTTGTGTTAAATTTTATAATTGGCTGTACAAAAGCGCATGTAATTCGCTACACAAAATTCAAAATTTTTGTTCTTATAATACAGTGGATTATGCAGTGGAAAATATTTTTTAAAATTTTACATATGATTGTAAAAAATATTAACAAAAAAACTTTTAAAAACTTGTTGTTTAGTTATTTATTCGTTTGTATAATCCACTGTCATTTGGTTTTTATTTCCTTTTGATTTTCACAATTAACACTAGCAAACATTTGCTTCAACATCACACTTACACTCATCATTACTAATCCTAAAAATTACCTAATTTGAGTATTCGTGATGTACATATCCTTACTGAACAATAGTTGGTACAATGAGGGGTTCATACATATAGAAAACCGCCATACAAATTAAAAGCAGTGGGGCACGTCGATGCATTGCAATATCCAAAGAACACTTTAAACAGCTCCCACTCACGGTGTTGTTATTTGCAGTAATACATAGATGACTTCTATAAGTTTTCTATACCCTTAGACACCATAAAACGTTATTATTTTTTTTAATGGGCGTTAAGACACATCGTGCCAATACGATAAATTAAAATCTGAATTCAAGTTGAATAATAAATATAAGTTGTTTACAAAAATTAATGGATGGGTGATTCGATGTATATCCTCAAACAGTAAAAAGGTGTATGTATACTCTCAGCCTATGGTTTGCGGAGATCTACGGATTGTACAGGTTTTATTATTTGCATTATACAGGCTAAAGGTTTTTATCAAAGAGTGATCAAAAATGTTGCCGTAGAGTCCATCAAATCGGTTACTCAATTCGCTCATATAAAATGTAGTAGTTTTAAAAATGTTGTCATTTTGTGGGGGTCAGGAGTGGTAAGATATTCACCATCATACAAAATGACTTACGTTTGCAAATAAAAAAAAAAAAACAAAAAAATAGATGCACGCAGTGTGTATCAAATGGGACATTTCATTAGCTTGATATTGGTTTAACAAATTTTCAAAATGTGGATCTTTTGTTGAGGAGTATACCGAAGGGTGCAAATTCGGTCTTAATATAGGTTTGGTAAAAATATTATGATTTGCAAAGATTTGATCAAACCTGACATTCCATTCCCTTGATGTTGGATTAAGAATTTGTTTACGAGTGATGTATCAAAAGATGTTGTTTACAAAAATTAATGGATGGTGATTCGATGTATATCCTCAAAAATAAACAGTTAAGATGTATGTATACTCTCAGCCTATGGTTTGCAGAGATCTACGGATTGTACAGGTTTTATTATTTGCATTATACAGGCTATATGGTTTTATCAAAGAGTGATCAAAAATATTGCCCGCAGAGTCCATCAAATCGGTTACTCAATTCGCTCATATAAAATGTACAAGTTTTGAAAATGTTGTCATTTTGTGGGGGTCAGGAGTGGTAAGATATTCACCATCTTACAACATGACTTACGTTTGCAAAAAACATAGATGCACGCAGTGTATATTAAATTGGAGATTTCATTAGCTTGATATTGGTTTAACAAATTTTCAAAATGTGGATCTTTTTTTGGGGAGTATACCGAAGGGTGCAAATTCGGTCTTAATGTAGGTTTGGTAAAAGTATTATAATTTGCAAAGATTTGATCAAACCTGACATTCCATTCCCTTGATGTCGGATTAAGAATTTGTTTACGAGTGATGTATCAGAAGATGTTGACGGTTCCCATCTTCGGACTTGATGTAGGTAAGATAATAATATAACGGTTACATCGGCAGTAGTTTTTTTACTTGTTTCCACATATGCAAACCGCACAATGTCTATGCTCAAAAACAAAACCGGCGATTTCCATAAATAATGTGTTCATTTAGGCATTCGCTTAGAAAATTTCAATAAATCCGCTTACGTAATCCTTAAGCGGTCACTTATTTGGTCTCTTGTAGATATGGACGATTTATTGTGACAGCAAGAGTGCTTCTCAAACTTTAAACCCCCTTTTGGCATTTTGAAAGTGTAAGCTAAATGTCCTTCCAAAATGGCTGTAATTTCATATTCGGGGTTGAAAAGTGTCTTTGCAGAAATTTTTTTATGTAGGATCATGTTTTGACAGAGTCCTCATATTATGGGGGACTTTTTATCCGAATGAGAGGAAATTTGGCACTATTGGTAAAAATTGGTTTAGATTTAGATTTTTCTGTCCGTTTGTATATGTTAAAGTACAGGTCGCATTTATGTTCCGATTTGGATGAAATTTGGTACAAGTCAATTGAAGAAATCGGTTCAGATATAGATTCGTCCGATTTAAGGTAAATGGTGCACCAAAGTCCCTATATATCTTTCGATTTGCACGAAATTTGACATAGAGTACTAAATTAGGTCCAGAATGATGTGTTCGATTTCCACGAAATTTTACATAGTGTACTGAATTGAGTCTAGAATGACGTGTGCCAAGTTTTGAGAAAATAGGGTCAGATTTATATTTGCACGAAATTTGGCATAGGGTACTGAATAGGTCCAGAATGATGTGTACTAACTGTCGTGAAAATCGATTGAGATTTAGATATAGCTCACATATATATTTTCGTCCGATTTAATGTAAATGGTGCACCAAAGTCCCTATATATCTTTCGATGTGCGCGAAAATTTGCATAGTGTACTGAACTGAGTCTAGAATGACGTGTGCCAAGTTTCGAGAAAATCAGGTCAGATTTATATATAGCTCCCATATATATTTTCGTCCGATTTAAGGTAAATGTGGTTCCAAAGCCCCTATATATGTTTCGATTTGCACGAAATTTGGCATAGGGTACTGGAATGAGTCTACAATGATGTGCGTCAAGGTTCGTGAAAATCGGTTCATATTAAGATATAGCTCCCATATATATTTTCGTCCGATTTAAGGTAAATGGGGCTCCAAAGTTCCTATATATCTTTCGATTTGCACGAAATTTTACATAAAGTACTTTATTAGGTCCAGAATGATGTGGGCTAAGTTTCTTGAAAATCGGTTCAGATTTAGATAAAGCTCCAATGAATAGTTTCGTCCGGTTTAATGTAAATTATTCACTAAAGACCCAAAGCTAAACCGATTGACAAAACGTACTGAAATTAATATAAATTAAACTCTGGCAAGTTTCCTTGAAATTGGTTCAGATTTAGATATAGATACAGTGTTGCCAAAACTTTGTTGAGGAAAAATGCTAGATTTTGTTGAAAAAAATGGTAGAAAGTGCTAAAAATTTTAATAAAGTGCCAGAAAAAAGTGCTAAAAATTTCTAGAACAAAATTGTTAATATTTAACTATGAAATATTAATCAGAAACCCCATTTATTCTTAACGACAATTCGTTGTCGATTTAGCCATGTCCGTCCGATTGAGGTCGCAATATTAAAGACAGAGCTTTGGAATTTTGCACATACGTTGGTACTACTCCTATGAGATTTGATATTGGAAATGGAATATATCGGTCGTTTTAGGGTACACATTTAGGCACATTTTTCAACTTAAATTGCTGTATATTTGTATATTGTGTTCTACCTGGATATATAGTCTTCTTACTAGAACTTATTAATATTGGTCCACTTTTAAGGGTAACCCTCATCAATTGAATTGGTTTTAATTTGATTGTTTAAATTTTGTTGAGTAAAAAATCTCCTTATCAAAAATGATTAATATGGGTCCATATTTAGGAGTAGCCCCCAGAGAGCGATACCCTCCCCATTATTTGACATTTTGGAGACGTCGGACACGCAACCGAATTGACTCAATTGTTTCTATTTTTTGTTTTGATGGTGTTTGAAATCTACCTACTAAAATATAAATACTAATAATGTCCAAATTTGGTTAAGGTAAATAACTATAATTTCACATTGCGTACAAATATGAAGACAATTATCAATTTTCGTCCCATTTGCGTACTTTTAAGGGTGTATAATCTCATTCCCAACAGCGACTTTAATATAAAACAAGTGAAAAAGGGCCGAACTTTGGATACCCTCCACCATAGATATACTGACAGGTACTATAAATGAAAATATAGGGAACATACCAAAAAGTGGACCTATTCCGACATTTCTAAAAACGGATTATGTAAACCATTATGTTAACCATAATACAAATTTCAGAATTTTTTAATGGATAATTGTACCCTCAGCCTAATGGCTAATGAGGGTGTATACACTTTAACACGGTGAAAATGTGGCTCATCGAAATATTGGTTCTAGACTCATGTTTCTTTGGACCAAATCCGTTTCCGAAAATTTAGATTTCATCCAAACTTTGCCCATCTTATTATTTCTTCCAAACTTAGTTCAAATTTGAAAATGGTTAATATCAGTCCACTACCTCAGGGGCTAGGTCTAAATGCGGATATAGTTCATTATCGAACCTTACGATCTAATTTCTTATCTCGCTTTCCTCCGCAGGTGAAATGATTACAAAGAGTCTCAGAACCAAATTCAAAACGCGGAACAAATCAGATTACTATTTTAATATAAAAAAGGGGTTTATATGGGGACTACCTCAAAAAGGGGGGCGAATATTAATAATTTTTGGTAGGGAGATTTGGGGGGAACCCTTATATGGGAGCTATGCCTAAACGTGGACCGATAAAGCTCATCTTCGAACTTGACCTGCCTGCAGACAAAAGACGACCCTATGCAACATTTTGGCGATCTATCTTAATTCTGTTAGACGCTAGAATGATTACAACAGACAGACGGACATGGCTATATCGTCATAGAATTTTACGCTGATCAAGAATATATATAATTTTAGGGTCGGATGAGTTACAAACGGAAAAACAAAATTAATATACCCTCCATACTATGGTGGAGGGTATAAACAATATGTTTGCCGGAATCTTTCTATTTTGGTCCTTATTCTGGCACAATTCCAATATAAAAGGGTACGCACGCCTTTTCGGTAATCTAAAGTGGTTATAACTTGGCATTCGGGATTCCCGCTGAATAAAATACTTGTTTTCAGAAAGTTCCAACATAATTCATGTTCATTATTTTTATATTGCTCTCAAATGTACAACTTAATTAGATTTTTCATTTTCCCAAATAAACAATCTACCAACAGACAATGTCATAGTCACCACATGAAGTACCCGACCATTGGAAAATCTAATTCATCGCGTGAAACATAGCGAAAATTCAATGCGTCAATATGAAATCGATAAACGCGATTTTTTGGGTTGAAACCAAAATTTTGTAAAAAAAATCCTAAGAAATTAAAAAATGCTAAAAAATGTGCTAGGTGCTAAATCAATTTTTTTGGTGCTAAACGACTTCAAAAAGTGCTAAATCTAGCACTAAAAGTGCTAAATTGGCAACACTGTATAGATATTAGATAGATATATTCAGGTTTACCAAATAATCAATGGGTGCCTGATTAATATTACATTTTAAACAGTGAAGCATACCAAGTAGCGTGTGTACAGTTTGCTTTAAATCTATTTACAAAATTTAGAATAGGTTGCAGAATGGCATATGGTTGATGTTAGTCGGTTTACTTTTAGATATAGATCGCATATTTAAGTCCGTTCAATTTCATGTCAATGTTCCTTTGAAAAGGCGACGTCTGTTAGGACACATATGCACAATATATTCAAAGTAGTGAAAGGTATAATATAGTCGGCCCAGTCCGACTTTACTACTTTCCTTACTAGTTTTGATATGAAATTTGACATAACGTGTGAAAGATAGATGTGTGAAGTTTTGTTGAAATCGGATCAGATATAGGTATAGCTGCCATATATATTTTTTATTTATTTGATTGTATCTTTAAGGGGGATTATCTTTTGATTGAATCTTTAAGTGGGTTTTTATACTCTTTCGAGCCAACCTTAATGACCGAAGTTTCGCAATGAAAAGGAAATACAGGCGAATAACCGAAGCACCCAAACATTCCGTTCATATAAAAGCTCCCAAGAACATTAGGAACAGCCACCGAAATTTCGTTTTAATAAATATCGTGGCTCCTTCCGTAATCTATACAATATTTATTTTTACTTGATTTTTTCGGATAATTGCCTTGGGAGCATTTTATAGCGACGGAATGCTTGATTTGGCATTTCATAGTTGTGGGATAAATTCAATGAAGTACTTTCAAGTCCTGGAAGGCAAATTATTGCCATTTCGGGAAAGCAGCAACAATGAAGGACTTTCAGCAGAACAACGCAACAGTTCATAAAAGTCGCCATACTTAAGAATGGTTAAAGTCAAAAAATATTCATACTTCCGACCAGAATCCGATCGAGAACATATGAGCAATCTTGATTCGTTGTGTCTATTAAAAAATCGCCAATACCCAACTGCATTTAACCCCAAAGAAGTGATTGTCAATGAATTTGATAGACAATATGATGGATAAAATTTTTTAAGTTATTCAAAATAATGGAGTTTTTAAAAATAAATTTATCTTATTTTGTAAAAGTGCGTCTATAGTTTGAACGTGCAGAATTAGGCGAAACCATAAAGTATAAATTCATTATTTTTCTTGAATAATGTGTGTTTTTGGTCATTTTATTGTGTACAATAATTTAATGGGTCATTATTATTTGCCAGCTAACATACCAATTGAATTAAAGGTGCGTTTATAGTTATGATACGCAGTGTATACAAAAGCTCTGAAGAATTCGAAAGCTATGCCAATTAATACATTTAATTTAATAACAATAACAAGTTCCTCTTGATAAATTTAAACATTTACATAATTATTTAGTCTATATTTGTATTTATCTTCCATCATTCACTCGTTATGCTGTTCATATTCGTTTCTGCTTTTTTTTAATTGTTTGCTTTGATTTATTTGTAAAAAATAATAATAAGAAACAATGTTCCCAACTTTGTTTTCAATAATTCATTTTCAGATTTGATGAGTCGAGTTCGGATAAGGAAATTCTGGATTTACTGCTGGAACAAAAGCGTTATGACAAACGATTACTGCCGCCAGTTCATGGTAAGTTAATGCCAATAGAAATGTGGCAAAAAGCAATTCATACGACCACTTGGTCGTACACACACACACAGAGAAACATACACAAACACTCTAATACAGAAACAAACAAAAAAAAACAACAGCAAACAAATCCACAACGATGTGGCGACAATGGCTTGAGAAAGTCATTTAGTTAAGTACTTTTTGTAGATGTAGTAGTTTTGTAGTCATATTTTAAACTAAATATGCCTGTTGTTGTTGCTTTTTGCTCGCTCCCGATATTAAATATATATTTAAAAGTACAATTGCTATATTATGGTAGAAGTCGGCGTAAATTAATAACACTGTGCAACACATACAAAAAATGTTCTCGCAGATGTGCAAAGAAACTTTGTATATTAATTTGGATATTCAGTTATTGTAGGCTTTATTGATGATCTCCATCAGCAAATTTGAAATTCACATCTTTTCTGATGTTTGGATACCTGAACGAGAATTCGGACACATCATTACAGTTGCTAGATGTTGTTTCTTGGTCAAATACCTGAGTAAAGACCAAATTTGAGATCCGTCGCTCTAACCTCAAGATTCCGAAACTTACACTACTGAACAGCAGATTAGTCACTAGATCAAACACTATGTGAGTAGTATCTGACTAAAGTCAATTTGCCTATGTCCCGTCATTTCCACACATAATGTCCACACATTGTTTGATGTTGTTGAGAATACTTCCCTCCAATCGTTGGTGGATCTTCTGGCTTACAATGCCCATTAGGCAGCATAGATATTGCTACAAATACATATGACTGAACCTATCTCATCTAGCATGTTCCGCACGAGGAATATTAAAATACCCTACAAAAAAAAAGAGAGGCCCACTAGAACAAAATAAGCCTTTTAAGCAGGTCCAAATCTTTTTCAGCACTGATGAAACCATTAATTAGAATCTAGATGACCTATGATAGGTCCACTAGAAATATTTCCTATTTTCAAATGATATTTCCGTATTTTCCGTAAAATATTTGAGAACATCAAATGTGTTGCCCAGTGTATTTGAAACAATGTATCCTGTACTGCTTTGTTTTGTATTTTGTCCTTTTTTGTTGTTTCGATTTATTTATCCTTGTCAGTGCATAGCGGTTTGAGACTTTGTCGCTGCCACTTTATTTTATTGCCAACCAAAGGCGCAGACACAACTACATACACACACAGACGCAATTGAGTAAAACATAATGGCTGATGGTTGCATTAAAATAAATTGTCCGGATAGACTTGCAGCGCATTCAATAGTAATAATTGCTACTAACTACAACAACGGCAACAACAAAAATTGAAGATGACAACAAACAGCTTAATTGAATTGAATATTATGTACACGTACACAACGTACAAGCAACATACATACTAACGAAAAGCGCAACAAAAGTACACTTGTACACGTACCGCCAGTTTAATTTGCAAAAGGGGAACATCTAAAATAAATATTTGTTAGCAAAATTGTAAAAAAGAGGAAACTACTATTGAGTTTAGTTTGTTAATAGTGTTTTTGTGTTAGCATTATATAACAATATAATATTACAAGGTTATTATCTATAATTATTATATTTGGAGACAATTGAAGTACAAAAAAATATATTTTTATTAAACAACTTCTTTTAGTATTTAGTGGTAAATTTTTCAGTAATTTGTATATTATATATTTTTTGGATTCGTATGTACTTCGAATACTTCGAATCATTTTGAGTCGATTAGAAAAGTATGTCCGATCTTTAATTATCCGATTTCCATGGAGTTTTAGAATGGTTCGTTAATTTGCACAGAATCAAATTTCATTGAAATTGATAAAATCTATATGTCAAATCACCGATGATGCGACGTCTGTCTGATAAATAGGGCACCAATTTTTATACCCTACACAATTATGTTGTAAGGGTATTACAGCTTTGTGTGGCCCCAAGAGTTTGTAACGCTTCGATTTTTTTTTCTAAACCCACCATTTAGCATACCGTTCGTCATATCTCGACTAGATGAGTCGAACAAGACATGTGTGCCATTCCGTCCGACTATTCATTATAAACTGTAAACACGATTCAGCCACATTTATGGACCTTTTTTTCGAAATTGTGTATGTAGGACCGGTTTTGGTCAAAGAAAGAAAGGTGATGAAATATATGTTTTTCTGTCCACTCTATAGGCTATAATTATGACCCGAAAATAACGATAAATAACGAAATTTTATACAGAAAAGGGGTCCGGCCATAGAATAAGTATAACTGTTTTGATAAAAATCAGCCAATCCTTTGCAGTTCAAATGGACCAAGACATTTGTGTGAAAAATTACAAAATTGTTCTTCTATTGCGTATGTGGGACTTTTTCTTAATTACATACAGGTGTCTACGTATTCTACTATTTTTTAGTATTTCCGTTACCACATTAGATGATATAAACTTCGAGCTGATGGCTAAGACATTTTGCATTATGATCCGGTTTTGGTCAAAAACGCCGCCAATAACACTGTGCGACACGAACATTTTTCAGGGGTTCTAATGTACCAATTCTGTTTAGTTGGAGTCCCTGGACTAACGTGGAAACGAGATAGACCCATATATCCTCTAGAGAATATGCATAGAATCAATACAAAAATGTGTATAAGTCCTCCATTTTTTAACCGATTTTTTCTTCGAAAGCTTATTTAATTGTCTTCCCCATAATATAATTAAACTTATACAGCTTGATATCATAATTTCTTCGTACAGTCCCATGAAAAATAAATTTTGTCATTTTATGCGTATTTTTTCACATTTCAACCACTGTAACTCAGCCAATTCTCAATTTACCAAATATATATCTTGTTTGAAAGAAAAAATTCTACTCTTCGAATGAAAAAAAGAATAATATAAAAGTCAAAGTGAAAATCTATGAAAACACGTTTTTCTCTACATTTACCAAAAGTATATTCGTGGTCCAGGGACTGCAACTAAACGGAATTGGTACATTAGAACCCCTGAAAAAATTTATTGTTTTGTTTTGTATCACAGTGTAATTCATTTCATGGTGATAAGGTGATATTTCGGGGACAACATGAACCGACAACTTTTTGTCTGGCTATCTAGTCTGGCAAATATCACAAAATATTCCCCAAGCTCTAATATAGATCCGCAGATCTGCAGTTGTGTAGGGTATCATGTGGTCGGCCCGTCCGACTATACTACTCACCGTACACCCCATAATCCAGATTATGGAAGGTTAGTATTTTAGGGAAGCACCGGCCACAGTAGACATCTGTCGGTTATACACTTTAAAGGTAATTGAACTAACAATAGTAAGGACAAACATAAACGCCTGTAGTCCTATTCTGTAACTTTTAACAACATTCGATATTGTTTAAATGTCTTTTGTCATTGTAAAAACAACAAAATAAATTGTTGTAAAATAAACAATATCGGATGTTGTTAAAAAGTTACAGAATTGGCCTACTGAACTACTTGTATTCTATAGTTCAAAATGCAGAATATAATTTTGAATTACATATACATGATCAGCTATAGAGATGCGGTTATGCAAGTTGTTATATATTTCACATAGTGATCTAAGCGGATAAAATATGCTTGTGTCAAATTATAAAATGTTTTCAGCTGATTTCAGGTGGATGAAAGTTCAAAGGTATGTCAAATTGATACAACATTTTTCACATTGTTTCCAACTGAATCTAGAATGACGTGTGTAAAGAATTTCCAAAATCGGTTCAGATTTTATCTCTTATATCAAAATTATATGTTAGCCTAATGTATCACCGGCTTGATCAAACTTGTTAGCCCTATTTATATCCCAAATGGGCCGAATTTAAAATGTACGTTGCTCTATTTGACAGACGAAAGTACATTTTTAAAACAAATCTCATTTCTCTGAAGCAGATTAGAGTAACTTCGGGTAATGTGGACCACCATTTTCTTTTTTGATATTGTGGGCGTAACAACTGTAAAAAATAAAAACAAATTGTTTACACAACATAGCAGATTTGTTGGCTAACTATATTCCAGGTCAAACATTATATATATATTTGTCTATAAAAATGTTATTGCATTATATTTCAAAAAACTCTAAACTGCGAATAAAAATAACTTGGCGGGTAATGTGGACCAGTATGTGTGGGTAATGAGGATCAGTATGTTAAGGGTAGCTAGTGGCTTGGTTGTGATAAATTTCAATTTATTGCGCTCTTGGGTAACAATGAATGCAAAAATATATGGGTTTATAATTTCGAATAGCCCCCATTTAAGGATACCACCCCATTTGCGGTATTTTGAAGGTCCTTGCTTCGTTATCCAACCGAAGCAGCTGTAATTTCGCATATGGAGTTTTCAGAGGATGGAATACCTCCTCGCATATCAAATGCGCCCATGTTTCGAACTCGTCCTCGTGAAAAGGTCCCACTTTTTTATAGTGGTCCATATTACGCCTCCATTGAATATTTTTATTTAAAAAAAATATCGGCTTTAAAAAAGAATAAAATTTCAAATTCACCGACCGGCTAAACGTATATTTTCGCTAAAGAAAACAAGAAAACCACATAGCTTCTTTATATTCGAAAAAAACAAAGTGTTCGACTATTTTGCCAAAACATTCAACTATTCAAATCACACATTTACAATCAGAGCTACATTTTCTACTACTACTTTCTCAACATTGCAATTATTTATTAAAAAACAAGTTTGATGTTTGTTTTCACTAATAAGGAAACATTTATCAAGGCGGCATTGACATATTTCTTGTATTTTCTTAGATATGGGGGTGGTCCACATTAGACGCATAGTCCACATTACCCGAAGTTACTCTACGTACAATTGTAATTGAAATATTTGTGAGCATTACTAGACATAAAATCCGAAAATTAGTATTTAAATTTACCAGATTGTCTTCAAATGTTATTTTTCAGATTATGTGTAGTAAAAAGTTTAAATTAAAGAAATTTGCCTTCAATTTTCCAAAATTAGCAAACATTTCAATAAATAATACAACTGATTTACAATAATAATAACAAAAAATAAGAATAAAAAGTGAATTGTTCTCTGTATGAGAGCAATTATCTTGAGATGTTTGTTATGTTTCACATCATACATTTGCTTCAGATACTTAAAATACTCCATTTTCCAGATGAAGACTTCTGCTGTGGATTGTCATCACCCGACATGGCTACTGAACAATCTTCAAGGAGGCCACATAAGCGCGGTTCGTTTGAAATTAATTATATATATTAAGCCCATTTTATGTTATCTATCCCCATAACTAAATCGAAAAAAACTAGAAAACATTTATAGAATGTTTTAGAACATTTGACTACATCAGGATCTTTAAAATTGCCCTGATGTTATATATGTACCAAAATATGTATGTAATATAATTTGCACAATAATGTAAGCGCAACGCAAATATCATAGTGCCGTATGTTCTGGATGACTAATATATAATAGCTAAGGATTTTCATAAGGATATTCATCATATTTTTTAACAATTTAGTCAGAAGCATTACATATAAATATTAATATCTTTGTTTATTTTTATTTAAAATTTAATTTAACATTTGTTTGTAGGAATCTCCTATTCCTATTTGTTTCCCATACTTTATAGTATGATTTATTAAGTCTTTTAGTTTCTTAAAGATTATTATTATTTAAAATGCTATACTTAATACTTTTCAAAGTAATCGGTTTAGAATTTCTTGAAATCTTTAAAAATGCTATACGATGGCTACTGTATATATTTCTGGCCCAATAATGGTTTTTAAGTATTTTCCAGGATAATTTGTACACTATTGTTTGGTCCCGTTTTTTTTTTTTTTTTTTTTTTTTTGATGTGTGGGTATGAAAAGAAATCTACTTGGCATCCGTAGATTTCTTTTTATTCAGTCAGGACTGTGTATGACGTTTTGTTTAGACAAAAAACAATATGCTGATTTTATGCCATTAATGGTATTTGGCTCATCCTGGTCGGTCAGTTGCTGTTTTGTTTCTGGCTCATACACATAGATTCATGATTCGTCACCTGTGAGATCTTATACACGTCGTTTGGAGCACCACTACCGTATTTTTTAATATTCATTTGTATCAAACGGCCAAATCGATCAACTGAACTCAATAAAACATTGCCATATAAAGCTTACGATCATCGATGCACTTCTGTCGTGATCCACATCGATAATTGTGAAAAATTATGGCACGAATATATGAAAGAGTAAATTAAATTTTTTGCAACTAGCGTCCGCAAATCACTGTTAACAACACAACACATGGTAGTACGTACCATTTGTCGGTTATACTACTGTCAACTCCCAAAATGGAAATGTCAAGCGGCGCCATTCAACACTTAATGCCCCTTCACAGTGCCAAACTGTTGGAGGACATAGGGATGATACGTGTTTAAAACTTTTCATAATCAACTACATATGAAAAAGGAAGTGGAAAACATGTAAAGAGAAACACGGAGTTCCCCAATCTCTCCGGGACAACTAAACTTATAACTTTCCGATATTCCACAACCACCGGAACGTAATGTATGCGGTTGATTTTACGATCATAACGTCAGGTTCTATTATTGATCCCATATTTACGAGGACGAATGTCTACCCAAGTGAATCAGCATATATCTGTCACCAAATCAACAGCCACACTGTTCACTACTTGGACGGCTGATACGAAGCTCTCGATTTTCAGACCTCCAACTACCCCTTGATATTTGGTGTAACTTTTGGCAGCCTTTTCAAGTCATCCGCCTAAGTAGGACCAAGGCCCTCAAGTCGCTGGTCAGCTCACAATGAAATCTTGTTGACCTCTTATAAAGTAATAAGTCGGTCTGTGTTTAGTTATGCGGCACCAGTTTATTGTAAATATTCAGAACTGCCAGAATTCAAAAACAGATACGAGTAGCCTTAGCACAGCTAAGATCAGGTTGCAACCTTTCTGAATTTGACACAGAGGAGCCAGAACCAGAAAATACACATAAATCCTCATTGCGTTGTCCAGGCGAAATACACGTATATGTAGTAGCCCTCGTAATTTAATTTGAGAGTTGCATTTAGCTATACAGCGCAGGGATGAATTAGTAAATATATATATTTTTTATTTAATTGATTTATAAGAAGCCCAATCGTAATGTTATTTTAATTCAGTGATAATTTATAGAAATTTAAATCAATTATTTTTCTAGCTTTCAATTTAATTTTATTTTGTTTTTCTACTTATATTTTGTGGCCATCCACAGCAATAATCCATGTGCCAATAAAATATATTGCCCCAGTTGTATCGACATTAGTTTTAGAAGCTTGCGTTGTTGTCATTCCTGTCACCTTTTATTTATTTATTATTCTTTATTTCTACTTAATTTAATGTGTCTTTTAGTTACAGCCTGTACTGATTTTCAATTAATTAGTAAAACCATTTTCTATTTTTATTCTCTCTCTCTCTTTTTCTTCCCCATTTTGTTCCATATCGCCTCTAGGTACACTCAATGTGAATGTAACCGTTTTGCTGCTTAGTTTGGCTTCTCCGGATGAAAGTAGTCTGGTAATTTCCCACTCACTTGAATTTATTTGAATTTAAATTAATTAAAGGATAACACTGTTTTGTTTTCTCCCTCTCTCTCTCTCCATCTCTTTTCCGTTTCCGCAGAAATACGAAGTGGAGTTTCTGTTGAATCAGTTCTGGGTGGATCCTCGTCTGCAGTATGGCAACAAGTCACACTATGACTTTCTGAATGCATTGCATCATCACGACAGCATCTGGACGCCGGACACTTACTTTAGTATGCATGGCGATTTTAAGGATCCTATTATACCAATGCATTTCGCTTTAAGAATTTTCCGGAATGGGACCATTATGTACTCAATGAGGTGTGTATGGATGGCATTAACCATTTTGTTTTTGAATTTTGGATTTATACTTTTTTCATGAATATGTATTAGTAAATGTAGCGTGAAAGTGTGACCGCCGCTCATAACCTGATTTGGCCAGTAGTAGTTGTGAAGCGGTTGTGTTGTGTTCGGTTGTTTTTTTTTTTTTTTATTTTTTCGAATGACTGCAAATGAATGCCATCTTTTCCAGACATGGAATGTTTGTGAATGGTTGGCGTTTGCCTTTTTCTTCCCTCTGCTGTAATATTCTATGTTTTTTTTTGTTTTGTATACAAATGATGCAAGAATATAAATTTACACGCATACATTATAGAACAACAACGACAACAACAACATAAATATAGCTATCTTCTCCGCGTAGACATCAACAACAACATTAGCAACAGTTCTAAAAGTATCTACTACGGAACAACTACTACAGCAGGGATAATGACATAGAAATGGCATTACTGCTATGCATAGCATACAAATTCGTTACCTACAAAATAAGGCGTTAAAAGCAACGAGCAGAGTAGAACATAAACATGTACTTTTACCAAATGATCCCAATGTTAATGCGATTTTAATGGTGAAATGTTAGATTACTTCACAGGGTCTTTAAATTAAAAGTTAAATTTGAATTTTGTATTATTGAATCGGAAACAAACTAGAGTCGCATTCGTTGAGTCGACAGTCGACTTGGTATGTGTTTTTTGTAGAATTATACAATACAATATAACACCTTCATCTGTTGAATGTGTTAACCAAAAAATGTTTTATACCGGTATCCTTAATTTTCAGTATTTTGGGGGGTTTTGAACGCATTTTGCGACGTAATTCCACATTAGACGCATAGTCCACATTACCCGAAGTCACTCCAGACGCAGCAATTTTCGATATTTTAGTTTTTATTGGGTACCCAATCTCTTCCACTTTTTCAGGTAGTCAACATATAACGGCACCATATATCGGTATTTTGGGGAACGCATTTTCAAACAAATTCGCTGTAATTTATATTTTGTAGTCGTATTTGGTGTCTCCAAAAAATATTAATATTAATTCCTCTTGAGGGTATTCCCCATATAACAGGGTATTATATGTTTGTAAAAGTCAAAAGAAAACGAGATACACGGATGGAAGAATATGCATGGAATCACTTCTGAGTCGATTTTTTATGTCCCTCTGTTGATGTTAAATAACAAAGTACAGATGGTGCAGCTCATTTATTTGGCCCAAGGAGGAAACCTATTGAAAATGGCGAAAATCGGTTCAGATTTAAATGTATCTCCCATATATAATTTCAACCGAATTGATTTGACAAAGATTACATGATTCGACCTATTAAAAAACAAAATTTTGCACAACATACCAAATGGAGCCTAGAACGACGTGTGTCAAAATTTTGTTGAAATCGGTTCAGATTTAAATATAGCTCCCACATATATTTTCTTCCAATTTGATATAAATGTCACATCAAACTACCAATGTTTGTCCGATTGAGACGTATAACGTATGGAATTGAGATTAGAATAGTGTGTATTAAATTACATTGAAATCAGGTCAGATATAGATAAAGCTCCCATATATATTTTCGTCTGATTTTCGTTTTGTACCATTGAGACGAAATTTTGAATAATGTATTGAATTCAGTCTAGAATAGCGTTTGCTAACTTTTATAGAAATCGTATGTAGATGTAGCTCCTATATATTTTTGTTTGATTTCATAAAATTGTCCCCTAAATAACCCACCTATGTTCGAGTCGGTCCCGTCCGATTTTTGAACTATCCTTCTGGTTTATATTAGAATAGTAAAAAGATTTTTTCCGTGTGTTGAGGTTGTCTCCACATAGGAGCATTCTACTATAATATGGGAGGAAATTATTTATTCGTTATTAATATCTGTCCACGTTTTGGGGTTTTGATATTTTTAGAAATACTTACTTATATACCTACTTAACTGGGTAAAGATTGAACCGTTGTTTCATGTGTGAGCATCCAGTCCCACTTTGGCAGACTCCTTCTCAATTCGTTCAAAGGTGGCTGTTACCGCTCGCAATGTTCGACCCAATATGTCGAAGTCGTCGGCGTAGGCATGTAACATATGATGCTTGGTATACAGAGTGCCATTTCTGTTCACATTTGCATCTCGTATTACCTTTTCCAGCATGATGTTAAACAGGTCACACGACAGGTCACATGGTCTGAATCGTCGTTCGGCATTGAAGGGCTCCGAGAAGTCCTTTCCGACTTTAACAGCTAACCTTCTGCCACTCAACGATATCTTAAATAGTCGTATTATTTTGCAGGAATGCCGAACGCAGACATGGCATTAAATAACTCTGAATGGATAGGGCTGTGAAATGCGACTTTATAGTCGACAAATAGGTGAAATGTGTCGATGTGTTTTTCGTGAGTCTTTTCCAGCCGAGTTAAAATCTGGTCATTCTGATGGTGGATTTGCCAGGTCTGAAGCTGCATTGGTATGGTCCAATAATGTCATTGGCCAGTGGCTTCAGTCGTTCACACAGCACGCAGGATAGCAAATGCTGAGGTTCCAATCATTGGGCATGCCCTCCTCTAGTCAAATTGTAGTAATCAGCTGATGCATGCTCCTTACCAGTGTCTGACCCCAGATCTTGAATATTCGTCTGGTAACCCATCGCCACCTGCTGCTTTATTATTCTTCAGCCGATAATTTGCTATTCTATCCTTATCTTAGCTAGGTGGTATACAGTCTATGTCGTCATCTCTTATTGGTTCTGTGGTATATTCTTGACCGTTACTATTTGATACCAGAAGCTTTGCAAAATGCTCCTTCCAGATCCTCAACACGCTCTCTGTATTCTGTCACCAAGGTACCTACTTCATCTCTACAGGAGGATATGCCACCAAATCTTTCGGTTTGTTGCTTTACTCGTTGGTAAAATTTCAAGACTTCATTTTGACTCTTATATATTTCGGTTTGCTCACGTTCCCGTTTTTCTTCTCTTTCTTTCTCCTTTCCTCTCGATAATTTTTTTCGCAATGCGTGTTGCTACTGTAATTCCCTGTCATTGCGGTTCTGTATTATTACACTGTGCGACAAAATTGAATTTTTTTGATAATTACCGGGAAATTCCAACAGATTATAAAAAAGAACACAAGTGTATTGGCGTTTTAAAAAGTTTACGTCGGGAGGTAACCTAAAAAGGCGGGCAATATTCCCCCTTTTCAAGAATTTTGATAATTTTCGAATTATGATTTCTTGAAATCCTTGCATTTTAGGTATATAGTGTCTTCGGCAATATTACTGATAAAATATCGTGGAATATTTTGGTATGAAACTTTAACCCTCAACCGACTCATTAAAGGTGACACCTCGGAGTGGTCAGTGTCAACAAATGGGAATAAAAAAGGACCAACATAAGCCTGGACTTTGCCATGTTAAAGCCAATCAAAGCCGTTGATTGGTATCTATCATCCGAACGTCGCAACCTCTGAAAAAATTAAGTCACAAAAATACATCTAACAGCTAAAAATCGAGATATGAAGCTATCTTTTCATATAAAATATGGTCGCCAGCAAAAAAAAGATATCACACCATATCTCCCAACTATTACCCATGGCGAATTTTTACTTCTGAAGTCTTCATATACTCACTCACACCGCCCACAGTGTAACCAATCGATGGATCACACATTGTATTTATTAAATATATTGATTGTGTATTCGAATAATGGTAGATAATTTCATCTGAATTCTGATTCTAATTATTATTTTTTTATTTTTACAATTGCTCACCAAATTTTCTGCAGATTCGCAATTTAGATTCACTGAAAGCTAAAATGCAGCGCAATGTTTCTATAACGTATTAAATGATCGGTTCATCTTATTATTTGTGCATTGTACTAAAAAATATATACACTATAATAATTAATACCTGTCAATGAAATGTCTGTTTTAGTTATACGTTCAAAGTACAATATATTTTCATAACATATAATTTAAAAATAATAAAACAAGGATTGAAAAGTTTTCTATTTTTTTCTAATTTAATTTGTTAACAAAACATGTTGTCATTGTCGAATGACAACATGTTTTGTTAATGAAATGTTGTCATTGACGAATTGTCTTTATTCATTACATTCTCCGTAGCAACAGTCAAAAGTCAACAAATATTTTACTTGGCATAATAAAAAGTTTTGTCTAACTTCGTTCTCCAATTTTAAGTGTTTGTCTCTAAATGTGTGTGTGTGAGTGTGCGTGAGGGAGAGAGTATGTGTGTGTGTGCTTGGGCGTTCGTGTGTCTATGCCAACAGATACCATTATATGACTAACTTTGACAAACAAGCCACTTAGCTTAAACGAATAAAACCTAAATAAGGACATATGGACAAAGGCCCAAAGAGCTTAACAGCTGTGAACGTCTATTCACAATTGACAATTTTTTTTTTCTCATTCAGCTGTAAAACGTTCAATATTAACATGTATGTGTGTATGTAGCGTAATCGAATTATACGATTACATCAAGTACACAAGAAACTAGCGTAATTATTTTTATTGCAAATAGTCGAATTTGTGCATGTGTGTCTTTACACCATTCACTAAGTAGTTTGAAGAGTGCACTAGAAACACCTAGACGTCCAGTGGTAAAATGTGATACGACAAACAGCTATTTTTCTGGAAACAGAATAAAATATCTTTACAACAAGTCAGTACGTGTTGCCAACAGACCCCGTGGCTATGGTTTGCATAGGTCTACGGAATTACACACAGGTTTTATAATTTTTATTGGGAGGTACCAAGAGAGTGAAACGATCGACGAGATCCATTTCTGATTTAAAAAGTAAAATATTTTTCTTCTCTTTTAAATCTTCTAATATATATATGTGCAAAGTTACGAACCTTAACAAGCATTCGTATTGATTTACCAGCCCATTGAAAATCTTGAAAAATTAAAATCGAGAATGGGGTGGGATGCAAAAATACCGTTCTAGCAAACTAAAACATTTGCTCATAACCATTAATCCCTTACTCTTCATTACTGATGAGGCTATATTACACCTCATTATGCGACGATATGTTTGATTAACAACTCAGCATATCTTCAGTTTGTCTAAACAATTTATAAATTCCAAAGCGACATTTCAAAATCTCTATGAAATTTCGTTAAAACAAAAAAATACCACATAACAACCACATAATGGAGTTTGGCAACATACCACAAGAACAACAAAATCACATTTAAAAATCTTTCAAAATATTTTAGATTAGGGATATTTACAACGAAAAATCGTGTATATAGAATGCAAAAAGAATGTACATGTATAATACATGACTAGATTTTAATAGCATATATGTGCGTAAGTATGTATGCAACGTTTAAGTACTTAGTTGTATATCATAGAACCCGCTAAAGTATGAGTTTATTTGTAGTATATATTAATTCTGACATCTTTTTTTATTTTTTTCAGGCGACACTTGATATTATCCTGCCAAGGAAGTTTACACATATTTCCATTCGATGATCCCAAGTGTACGTTCTCAATGGAAAGTAGTAAGTAGCGATTTCAAGTTTATATTCAAATTGAAATATAAATACTCGTATTTATAAATATTTTCAATCAATTTTCACAAACAAATTCTTGCAGTTTCATATGAAGAGCCGCAAATAAGGTATGTGTGGCGGAATGGTGAGGTCACCCTGCTAAAGAGTCCCTCATTGACCACGCTGAATGCGTATCTAATAAAAAATCAAACCACAGCCTGTGATCAACATAGCTGGAGAGGTGAGTGACATCGTTATCGATCATATAGAGTACACTAAATGCAGTTTTATAGTTTTTACAATTTGTTTCAAAAGGAGCATCTTCTTATTTTCATTTTGAAACGAAATAATTTTTGTGTTTTATTAGCCAATGGATTTTAATTAATATCAATTAATTGACAAAGTATTTCGTTTTGAGTTGTAGTGCAGTTTTGTTCGTTATATATTTCGATTGTGAATACAAAATTCTAGGATTAAACAGATTAATTCATTTAGCATTGGGTTGTTTCTAAAAAAAAAATAAAAACACAGTATACTTTTGTTTTTGTAGAATTAAATTATGGCTTTTGTCGTGTGAATTTGATCTCGAACAATATCTACCTATTTTATGCATCCAAACTGAAATTCCATTAAGAGTAATTTATTTTGTTTCTAACCAAAAACAACAATATTTAAAATTATAATATACATATAAAAAAAGTTAAGGCTGAAACCCTTTTAATACTTTTATTAAATTTAATATAATTTTCTTTTGTTTAAATATGCCGAAAATTAATTTAACTGTATGCTAAGATTGGTGATGGCAAAAGTAGTATTATATGTATATATAGTATATATTTTTTTTTAATTGAGTCAACTAAATTTAAATATAAGAAGGATTAACAAAATAACTATCGAATAGTTGAATATAATATTAATGATTTTTATATAGAAAATAAATTGTTTTGTATTTCAATTCTTTGCAAGTCTTACATTATAATGAATTTTTATGAAAGGGTATTATTTTGAGATTATGTTTTTCTTCAAGAATTCCTACCGAACCCAAACTTCGATAATGTTTGATTTGCCGATTAGAATTTTAAAATAAAGTAAACGACTATATCCTAACAATTTTTTTTATTAAAAGTCGATTTTGGATGAACTAACTAACTTCACTCATATGAGTATGTATGTGAATGGAAACTATTGGGGACCATGTTGGGCAAGGGACTCTTCACCACGAGGATTTTTATACCTGAAACGGGATTAGTTATATCATGTGAAACTCATTTTTGATTTGTTTTTTCTTTTCGTAAATAAGTAAATTTAACTAGTAATCGACAGCATAACCATTATTTTTGATTAGGACAGCAGACCTACGAGGCATTGAATCTATAAGATTTTGATCCTTGGATATACTATTCCTCGCATCCAGAACCTTTGGGACGAGATTATGTTTGTTATTTAGTGAATCTCTTTTGATTTTGCTATCTATGATACCCCAAAGATTTGTCCATAGTGTAAAGATCTTTTTTTGTGCTGGCCATTATAACCCTTTATATTTGACTGCCGTAACCAAACTTTGACATGTTTGTATGTTTGAGGTTATTGTCAAGCTGAACATGGTCCTTCAAATTGGAATAGCTGTGATAAAGACCGACGCGCCTGTTACTGTTATGGCAATTTGTTGATCGGTCAGCACTGATGTTTTCGCGGACTCCCTCCGTGATGCATTGTCACTACTAATAATGTTGCATGAAACCAACTTATAATTGGAGAAATCACGGATTTATTTATGGAATATATCGCCGAAATAATATTTTGTACATATTATATTCACAAACACTGGTAATTAGCTGTTTTATCGGTGTACAGTATTTGTTTCTAGCCATTTTTTTCAGTAGGTCAAAATTTAAAACAAACACATCTGTTTGTAATAAATTCCTTTTAAAAATTATCTATAAAAATCTAACTAGGTACCTTTGTTTTATGAAAAAGTTATACGGCATTTATTATCTTTGCAATGTCAGTTAATTTAGTTTCGGCCACCGGTGTATTTTAAACTTATGCCAAACCTTTTAGCGCAACACCCTTTCATAGGAATAACGAGGGGACTGGAAGGAACACAAAAATATTATGAGCAGAACCAAATAAACATATCACCAAGTAAATCTTAATACTTAATAAATGACAGGTATTCTTACCAGCCTGCAGGCAGATTTACACAAGACTGAATACATCGAAAACTGCAGATGAGGAGTTTGTGGGGAAGACAGTAAAATATTGAAGCATAAGAATATGCCAACCCGCAGCTTTTGCAAACCTTCGAATCGATTCTTGGGTTATAACATAAATGATACGACTTAGAGCGAATAAAAAAGACTGAAGGGATTCATTGGAACACAGAATTTCTGGAAGTACAGGGATATCAAGACCAATTTCTTCTAATTTTTCCGCACAATAGGTCTTCACAGGCTCAACAAACCTATGTTTGATCCATAATCATTATATATATCTTTGAATTGAAATACAAAACAAAAATCGTGATCTATTTAAATGAACTATTAAAATATCATTATGTATACTTATTATTAACATTAACATTTTATCAAAGAAAAACAAATGTTTTGTAGAAAACCATGATGGTAAGAAAATTTGGTTGCAGAATCGTTATCAAATCATGGGACTCATAGTAAACAATTTGCAGACTATAATTTAAGTTCATAAATATGGAATATATTTTAGGCAGATATTCACTGCCTATTATAACCGGTTAATTATATCTTCGGAAAATCATTAATTCCAATCATATTGTTAATAAACGCATTGTACTTTAATGCTATTTAATTTATAAAAAACTACAAAAGTCTAAATATTTTAAATTATTCGATTTATGTGTTAAAAACGTATTTGATATGATTTAACGCGCCTTTTATTTAACATATCTCCAGAAGTCCATTTTCAACTATTGGCACAAATTATAATTTAATAAGGAAATAAAACGCAACACCTCTTTTATGATGCAATAATTAAGCAATCTACAGAGATAAAGGGTCACACTTTTGGCCAATAGTAAATTTAAAAATCGTTTTACGGTATCTTTCGTTTTATCTAAACCTAAACTAAGTGTTGTCACATTACTAATAACCCTTTAAACGTATACTTTTTGAAATGCATGCAACCTCTATGGTAGTTTGTAGTTAAGATTTCAATTATTTTTTAAAATTATTATTACACATTTTATACCATGTATTATTATAAATATTAAAAACATAGAAAATTTACAACGCTCGATTTTGCTGTGACATACAAACAACGACAGCCGACGGACCGGCGATAATGGTCATTATATGCGATGGTAAAAATTATTAACTTATTTTTACGATCGCATATAATGGCCATTATCAGTTTGACCTTTCCGAAGTTTTTATAACTTTCACCATAGTGTAGTTGGAAACTAAGTGGAATTGGAAACCAGAAACAAAAAGTTATGCCGACTGTGTTCTTCAACGATATTTCGAAATGCCCAATGCACAGAAATACTACATTGTGACCACGTTTGGAGACAAATTTATTAAAGATTACAAAATACCGAAGATTGAGGTACCGTTATATGGATGATATATGCAAATTTGCTATCCAATGATAACTCCAAACTATCGAAATATACTTCTGGACCGATATTGATTTTTGTCAAAATTATGTTTCACCCATTGAGAAACCAAAATATCAAATTATATCCATTTTGCCAAAACGAGAACCAATTCCGATTTCTTTAACATGGCGTGACTGCAAATAAAACTCTACTCTATGCTAAATTTAGCAATTCCTCCCAGACGAACAACTACATCGTCATAGAATTCTAATACAATCGATTCCACTGTATGTCATCAGATTTGGACAAGTGTAAAAGTCCTTTAGATATACGCGATTGATGATGAATCTAACATATAATGACAATGGTATGTGAAATGCTTCCTATTGAGAAACAACTAAACATTGATAAGCCGAAATTTCATACTAAACTATTTTTAAATTTAAACATAATCGTAGGAATTATGTCGAATTGTCCATCAGGTGTGCAATGTTTAGCTCACTATGGTCCTCGGCTAGTTGTAGATCTTCAATGGAGGGTTGGTAGCTTCTCCGATGCTGTAGACATACATACAATTCTTGCCCAATAGGAATTGAGGCGGTTGCACCATCCTGATCTTAGTTCAGCTAATACTACTTGTATTTGTCGGTGCAGCTGCATTTCCTCTGCTGCGATGTGGGGTGGTCTCCAAATATGTCTCTCACAGCCATGTACACACCAAAGACCGGACGAAGGCGGGTTAGGAGTTTTTTAACAATACCGGCTACAGATAGATCACCAACCGGCGATTAGTAATTATACAACAATTTTAAATTAGAATTAGATCGATACAATACAAAACCACAAACTAACTTAATTGAAAAAGCAACAGTAATCAGAAGCTATAATATCAAATCTGCTGCTCAAATGCTGGCTACTGTTTCCATCAGGGTGCGAAGAATGAATAAAATACGCTCTTTCTCACGAATGCTCACTGCGATAATTCGAATGTTTTCAATTTGTCGCGAATGATAAAGTTGCAATGAATGAACAAGCATTTGCAATCTCTCGCGAAGGTTCGCATTGTACGAAAAATTCACGAACGATAAAATTTCGCTGCAAGCGTCGTCGGTTCATTTTTTTCGCGAGCATTTGTTGCTGAAGAACATCCTTTTGAAAAGCTTAAAAAAAAAATGTTCGCGAATGCTCGCGAGCACTGTTAAAAACAACAACAAACAAAAATTTCATAAACAAGTAAACACACACACAACGAATGAATGTGTGTGTAGCAGAAAGTGTGTGGAATAACAAAACACATGTCCAACAACTATTTGTTATATGTGTGCGAACATTCTTTAACGAATGCTCGTTTGGTAAAGAATTTATCGCCATTCGTAAAATGGGCACAAAACGGATAGAATGAAAAAGAATTCATACGCGAGCGAATTTTTGCGCACCCTGGTTTCCATGCCGCGCTAGCGACTTGAGTACCTTTTTCTTACATCTCAGCTTATCGCTTAAAGCAGTGGCTTGCGCAGACGACTTTGAAATGCTATCGAATGCTACTCCCAGTATTTTGGGGTAGTTTGTGGTCAGAATCAATTCTCCACCGACCATTATGTTCAGTGGGAGCTTCATTTCATACGTTCATGGGGTGAACACTGTGGCTGTTGATTTTGTGGCGGATA